TCCTGTGACTTACTCAAAAAAGGCTGGAAGACAGCATGATCTCATAGATTAAATTTGTGGACTCTTACCATGCAAACTCAGTCGAGTTCTGGGCTTGGGCACTAAATAAATTTGATCTAGTCATTTCAGTTAAGGCTGATACAAGGTGCCTGATATGGGTGGCCTTCATTCTGAAGTTTGCTTCTTGCCTAATTGCATAAGAAAATGTATTTTACCTCTATATGGATTCACAATTTGTTAATGGTTAGATCTAGTAAAGGACATAACCTTATCTACAAAGGCACATTTCTAAAAAGGGAATACAGAAAGAGAAGATTGAAACTGCCTCCTGAATAAATCAAGGACCAGTGAGAGGGCAAGACTGGAATTTCAATGAATCTTCCTTCTAAATGCATGGAAATTAAACTCTTTTTTTTATTATTATTATTATTAGCTTGTACTAAGGGTGACTTCATTGTCATTGTGTTTTATTGGTGTTAGGATGCTTAAAAGCAGGGTACTGGTTTTATTTTCCATTTAGCATTCCAGAATTCTTCATGTGGACGAGAGGAAAAGTACATGCAATCAGCTTTCCTCATTTAGTGTGCGTTTATAATGTGAAGCCAGTGGTGTCCTAGAACATTTGGAGTATTTATGGGATGTACGATCGGAGTATTGAATCTCTGTCCTTAATAAGATACAATATGGGTTGGGAGATGAATCTCTTACCTCCTAAGCAAATGTTCTAACCATTGAGCTTTTGGAGTTACATGTAAAAGTGTTCTTTGACCAGAAATTTTAATTATTTTAATGAAATGCTGTTGTATCACAACATCAAAGTTGTTAACAAATAGCTATCACAAGTTAACGAATAGCTGTGCAGTTGCGTCATGGAAATAATATATCCTAGTCAGTGGCTGGCATATATAATACAGTAAAACCAGCCTCTCTAAATACATTTTCCTGCTTCACAATTTCACTATTCAATTTGGTCTCACCTGCATGTAGGAACCTTTTAATCATTTGGGTTTGAGAGAGAGTATTAATATTGGTTTTTGGGTTTGTAGTGAAATCTGATAGGCTGTGTATTTCCCCTGGTTTTGTGACAAAATTATGTATTTATTGCCTTGTTTGAAAATCACATGCATTCAGCATTTTAATCTGAGCCCATTTTCTTTCTACACGTACTCCATGGTATTTCTTTATGCTTGATGAATTTCTCTGGAGATTTTTTGAAAAGCTTTGATATTGACTGCCAGGTACTACAAGCAGGTTCATTCAACACTGCAATCAGCTATTCTATTAATGTAATCAATTTGAATAAATTTCATTAAGTAGAAGTTCTAAAAGCAAGAGATGGCATATCAGGAAGCTTGTAAGAACTACTTTGCAGGGGTTCTAGTACAAAAATAAGACCCTGGAAGCAGTAGGAAGTTGTTTGGGTTTTTTTTTTTCCTGTGGAAAATAGGTTTTATAATATGTAGCGTGCCATCCCTGTTCACAGAGAGACTTTATTTTTCAGATCCAGTACCTTCCTTAGAGTACAAGTAGTTTTGTTAGCCTGAGTCGCTAATATTCAATCACATCTGCAATTTTTCCTAAATGTTGACTTACACTTTCCCCTACCAGATTTTAAAAGGCCATTCCACTGCCTTTTTCCAAGTGCTGCATTAAACAGTGTGACAGTTGTACCTGTGGTGGTACATTCTCTGGGGACACCATGCTGTCATATTAGGGTCTGGATTTCAAGGACTTCCTGGGGTCTGATGTCCATATGATTGTGTGTTCAGATGAAGGAAGCCAGTGTTCCTTGAACACTGAAGAGAAGTTAATATTTTGATAGTCACCACTGGTAGTTTATTTTGTGATCCTGGACCAAAGATAAGACCAGTAAGTGCAGGATTTGTGTCCTGCACAGAGGAGAATTTCTGACAGGATTTAAGGGGAGAGTGTTGAGTATTGTTAAAAATCACCATCCCAGGGACTTAGAGCACTTGAGGAGGCTTCTGGTTGCTTCACGTGCCAGTTTGCAACATTCATGAGATGTAAAGAACGTATTAGTCCTGCTTGCCCTCCATGTATTCACCCAGCGTTTGCATTCTTAAAGGGACTGCTGATGTGAAGAACTGCTCCTGGAATTCTAGCCCCACTTTCTTGTCCTTTCATACACCACTTTCAGTAGAGGGCCATGAAGTATTTTGCGAACAGATAGTTAAGCACCTTTGATCTAAAGATAACTTAATGAAGTGATGTAGGTAAGTAATTTTGTGGGAGCAGGACCTAGTCACATTTTTCCTGGGTAACTATGTACCCACTCTGGTAGTGCCAAAGGTAAGTATGCAGTATCATTTGAAGCTGCAGGGAGTGCAAGCAGAAGCATATTCACTTGGTCTTTAAACAAAATGGCATGAAGGCAAGTAACATGTTTGTTCTGTGCAAAAGATTTCCTAATAAATAATAATACCAAGCTGTCAGCTTGCAAGGGAAATGCTATCAGTTCTGCAGCAAATTGTGTTGCAAAGTGATTTAGCTGCCATAGGTGGAACTCTGTTTTAAGAAGAGAGTTCCTTAACACCCTGCCTGAGATCTTCTGAGTTTGCGGTAGAAATGCCACAGACTCCTCTAGTCTGCTTCTGAACTATTTCAGACCCAAGAGAAATTCTTACATCCCTAAGCACCCAGGAGAGTCAGGAGAAATAATTTGTCCTGAAAGACTGGTAAAGCTCAGAGAAGAGATGATTTACAGAAATAGCGTGATTGTTCTTTCAAAGTTGTATGGAATATGGAGATTACAAACATAGGATCTCTCAGTTTATGTTAAATCCCAGAATTTGGAGACTTGTATTTTAAAATAAGTAGCAGCAGAGAGAGAATTCAAGCAAACCATTTTACATTAGTATTGGCAGGCTAATCCAAGCCCACAACTACACAGATTATTAAAATAGTATAAATCCTGACTCTTGTTGTAACAGGAACTGATAACTATAATAATTAAAGAGTAGGGGAGATCCACCCTTCAGCATAGGATGCACCTGTGTAGCAAATGTTACCCTAATAATACTGTCATGTCCAGATTGTGAGCAATGGCTAGAAATGGGAGAAGTATTGTCAGAAATGAGATATCTGATTCTTGGGTCTTTGGCTACTAATTCTCATACTTATGCCCAGTACCCAGCTTCAGAAACCTGTACCCCAATTCACAGGAATTCAGAACACTTGGAGATTATACAAAGCTAGTAGCTGGATTCTGAAAATCCTGCATGCTTTAAACAGGTAAAAGAGTGGAAAAAGAGTCAAGACAACTCATCTTGAAGGTGTAGTGACACTTCCGATAGTGTTGTGCCTTGAGATATCCATAAGAAGAGGTGGAGGGAGGTGAACAGCAGGGAGTTGTTAAGCCTTTCACTGTTTGTGAAACAGCTAATTAATATGGTGATTAGCATCCTAGAGGGATCCTAGGAGGAAAATCATGATTTGGTATTCAGTGCCCAGTTTGGATATTTTACAATAAATGAGAAATACTTAAGATTTTTAAGAAATCTATCAATTCAATGAGTATTGATTAAGTCTAAACACAGAACAGTGTGGAAACAGTACATGAGCCCACATTTATCATTATGGGGGAACAGAACTAGATTTCACATGCAAACTAAGTCGCAGTTTAACATCCTCTTTTGTTTGGGGGGTTTTTTGGTTTTATTTTCTTTTTTATGATACCACATCTAGCAGTTGGAATGGACTCATACAATAGTACATTATACCAGTGTATCTCCCCAAAAAAGACAAGTCCACTAGAACTTTTCATGTCTATGAGCTACAGACAAATGTTTTTGACATCTAGACAAGTATCTCTGTGTTTCTATTGAAAGATTCTAGATTTTGATCAGTTAAGAGATAGTAATTAAACCTGTGTGTAAAAGAAGGCAACATCTAGAAGACTTGACTTGTTCTTGTAACAGGAATGTTGAAAAGAGTTTTAAAAATGCTTGCTGTATTTTAGGGAGAATACAGAAATATAAGTGTTTTTTAAGAGGGCTAACACTGATCTATAATGAAAGCAAAACCAAGTAGGCAATAAAGCTTTTTGGACTGGTAAGACTGTGTGGAACTCACACAAAAATAGCTCTTCATACTGCTGGAGTGCTGCACTGTCCATGTGACCTTTCCAATGGGTTTTTGTTTTCTTTCTTCCACTGAGGAAGGCTACCTGCCCTCATTCTTTCTCCTCAGGGATTATCTCAAATTGTAGAAAGTTTGCAAGCACAGCTGGTATCATCACTAGTTATTTGATGGTGAAATTATGTGTTTTAAACAGACTTTTTAGCTTGGATGCCATCTGAGTCAGTCACCCAAACTCTTCTTGTGAGTGAAACAGACAGCCTCAGCAATTGAAAACCACTCATATGGGACTAGTTTTAATAAAACCACCAGAAGATGTTTGTTTTCCTAGGCTTGAACCTGTTCTGCATCAGAAGGAATTTGAATAATTCTGCCCTTCAGGCATTGAAGAGTGTCATATTTTGGAGCATCAATTATTAAAAAGACTAATGTCAGTTTTGCCTAAAAGCTGTACTGTCTCTTTTAACCCTTCTTTCTTGCCTTCATTTCATATCAGCACCTTTAAAAATGTGCCTATGAGGTGTTGTGCTACACTGAATTGTTTCCACAGCAACTTTCAAATAAGTGTTTTTATTATATATCCCTGTAGGCAGTAAACCAAGTTATTCTTTGTACTGCAGTCGCATGTGGACAGCAGTTAGGATTCAGGGTCTCATTACACTATTGCCCTTTTGTGCCTTGAGCAAAAAAACATGTTGTTCTATCTACAAAACCTGGTCTTTTTAACTCAGGCATTAGTGGCATTGGATTCCAGCTCTAGGAGTTTGTCACTGGCTCAGTGTCTTCAAAGGGATATGGTTTCCTCACTGGCATCATGGAGATGTGCAGTGAAGCAGCTCCAATGGGCTGGCGGGTGTACTTTTTCATCTGTGTTTCTCTGTTACTCTTTGTCCTTCTGTTAGGAGCTGTACTCTCGAGCTTCCCATGCTTTAGCAGATTTGGTGACGGAGCTGTTTCTTCAGACCCTGCCTGTTGTGACCAGCCTCTCTGTAAGAGAATGTGAACTTCTGAAAGAGGAATGGCAAGAGAATTTGGTCCCTCAGCTGGAGAAATGGGAGAGCCACCGCCAGAGACGCTGGAAGCTTTTCCAGGAACAACTACTGCAAGAAAAAAAAGTAAGAAAGACCCATATTATGTCCCAGGACCCCTGGGTCTAGAAGCAGGGATATGGGAAAAAAATCAAGATACTTACCTGTGGGGAATATTTTGTATATAAATGTAAGCTCAGGTCCAGTCTCAGGATAGGCAGTTTGACCTGCAGTGTGGAGTAAGGATATGTGCTGTGCATGTAGACTTGCATATAGGAGTCAGAGTGATTACTGATCCACAGTGTTTGATGGCTTTGTCAGCACATAAACACTTTTTGGCAAGGCTGCTGTCTGATGTCCTCAACTCTTGAGCATCTACAGAAACAGTTCAAAAAATCCTTCATCTGACATGTTTGAAGAGGGTACATAAAAGTACAGTTTACAGGAAAGGAGGACTTAAAATGATAAATATTTCTTAATAATTTTAATATGTTAATACTGGAAATGTAATTAATAATTAATAATAGTAACAACAATTAATATTGGAAACATATGGTACACACTTCTGTAAAACTTATTCTTTACTCTCAGAAGGTGAAGAAAAGCACTTCCAGCTTTCCTGCTCTGTTTGTGCCCAGCATAGGGGGCATTGACACCAGAAAAGTAAAGTAACAACAGTAAATGTGAAGACAGGTATCTTCAGTGTTAGGCTGGAATTCAAATATATCTTCAATTTATTCATGCAGTGCTGTGTCTCTGTAACACTGCTTTGAAGACTGACACAGCTTAGTCAAAGACCTTTATACAAAGGTGTGCTTCTTCCCAAATGTTGTGTGTGCTACAACATATAGAGTAATCGGAGTTTCTTAAATGAAAGGTTGGCAGAGTTCTTTAATACTGGCAAAATCATACTCTTCCCTACCCTCATTCTCCAGAATGCCTGGACAATCCAGTTCACAGTTAATAAAGTACTGATTGAGTCCCTAATTATTACAGACTGCTTTAAGGTGTTTAACTTTCCACTCACTCATATTTAGGGTGCTTCCATAAAATCCTGTGATTCAGGAAACTGTGGGCTTCCTAGTAAATCTGATAGAGCGCTTTGCCTACCAGTGGTTTTAGAACACCCTTGGGAATACAAAAGTAAAATTATTTGTTGGAAATTCTTACTCATTTCCTTTTTTTCTTCTCTTTTCCTTAATCTGGAGTTATACAACATCCACCTCCCTGATCATTTTATATTTACTTTATTGTAACTCACCTGTGTCCCAGGGATATCTAGAAAACTAAACTAAAATATGCTTGGGATCTACCACTGATGTCAGTGAGTCTGCTCATGTGTTTTAAGTTAAGGGTGGGCATTTGTGTTTTCTAGGACTGCTGGTTGGCATTTAGTGTTTAAATTTGGCATACCTATACCTTCAGTGATTAATGAACCAATGTCTGACCTCAACTTTTTAAATTTTGCCCTTTTATCAAGGATTAGGTTCACTATCTGAATTTTCAAGCATAAACCTCTAGGATGCTTGCTATTCATTTTCACATTGACCGAGGGTTCACAGATTGCCTGTCCTCCTTATGAATGACCTGAGCAGCCTTGTCTAGTAGGTGAACTACAAGCATGTCTCATAGTGCATGGAACCCAAAGCACCATGGTGGTATCTGCTGTCATTAAAAACCACAGTCAGAGAAGGAGGAGGTTCTAGTGTGCAATTTAAGGTTAGTCTCAGAAGTCAGAGTGCATGCTCCCACTGTCCCATTGAACCTCAGTCATTGTTCAGGGCCAGAGGAGATGCACTTCAACAGGTAGGAGATTCTCCACAGAGGGGGAGATCTCAAATCTGAAGTTTTGTTCCAAAAATGCCATTTATGCATTTTTCTGTTACTATCATTGGGCACAGTACTGAGTGGAGAAACGACACCCTGGGATTTTTTTCTCAAGGGATTAGTTCATCTCCAGCAGTCAGTTGCTGGATAATAGCTCTTTGGGCAGCACTATATGGTGGATTCATTGTATGTGAATTCAGATGTCCCAGTCATGCCCAAGCATAGGTTATTTAAATGAGAAGATTGACTTTCCATCACTTTCAGTGTACTGTAGCATTCATAATATAAAGCAGATGACTGCCTAGCTGGGGAAAATAAAGTAAAGGGTTTGCAGACATATTAACAATAATTACTGAGCAGTAGAGGAATTCACTTAGCAATGACAGAGCTGTCACATTGGTCTCTGGGTCACCAACACTGCAGTTGGGCCATATAAAAATTTTCTGAGCAGCAGAGAGAGCTGTCCTAAGGACAAGTGATTCTGTGGGATAAATTCCTAAAAGAGACAAGGGTTTCACCTAGTGGAAAAATGTGTGATTCATCAAGCTGATATTCTTTGCAGGGTCTTAAGTAGCTTTTTTAACTTAATGCATGTGGCTTTTTGGAAGTGGCTTGAACTAAACTGAAAAAAAGTGCGCTCTATCTCTAAAGCAAGCATGCAGGGAAAAAAACTGTTCCACTGTAGGCTGGCAGATTTTCCTGTATAAATGAGTCTGAAAAGCGCCACACAACTCATTATATTATGTTCAAATGCAAAGTACATTTCTTGGCCCATTCCTGGTATAAACACAGCAGCATGTACATTTGAGCAATAAGCGGAGGCGCCCTACAAAAAGGAGCACTTGGTTTCCACCTTAAGAAGAAGGAACATCAGGCACATGTGAAGGGTGATCATGTCATTTAGGAGATCCCATAGATGTTACAGTGCTGAATATTGACAAACCTTTTAATATATCGGGCATATTCCAGCAGGAGATACGTCTTCCATTTGCCTCTTGTTAAATGTACTATACTAAGAGTTACATAGTCACCTGCTTTACAGACAGCTTTTCACCAGGGTGTTTATGTGTGCTTTTCAAGGGTGGCTTAAAAAGACATTTTTCCCACTTACTTGAACTGTTGTTTTTTTGGTTTTTTTAAGGTTATCTTTCCTAGCATTCATACATATCTGGAATATGAAGTCCTTTGGGGGAACAGAATCTCTTTTACAATTCAAAAGAAAAAATCAGTTTCATATTTAAGTTTGTCCTATGTGCTTGACGGTGTGAGTGAGGCAAATGGGAATAAATTAGTAATGAAAATAAATTTTGAGCATTTTCCTACATAGCCCCTACCTCATGATTTCTGTGAGCACTGCCTGGGCAGCAGTTACCCGGAGCAGTCTGCTGCAGCCTGCTGAGGTACTTGCCTGGCGTTTGGTGTGCATCGCACCCCATCTACAGGCTGTTAGGGAGAATCTGCTTTCCTTCGATTTCCTGTCGAAGGAAAAATGTCAAACTGAGCACTGCAGAAAAAAAAAAAAAAAAAAAAAAAAAACTATTTTGCTGTTGTATCTGGGGTCTAACTCAAAATATTTTATGGATTTCATTATCTCTAAAAGGCATATGCCTCACCTTTATTGCCAGAGAGTAAAACTTAATGTTAGCAGTGCACCGGAAGGTCTTGTAATGGTCTTGTTGCCAGGAAGCAAAACACTGAGAAGCTTACAGAGTAAAAATGGGGTGGGGAGGTTTCCATCCATACCTGCATCCTTACTTCACACCCATAAAACTGAACCAACATCTCCTTACCAGTTTTGACAAGGTTTCTCTTTGTTTTATACTAATGTTCTCATAGCTATTGGAATGTCTCTTCAAGTAGCCAGACATACCTCATAGCTTTACTCCCCCATTTACCATGCTTTTGTCATTGGTTTTCCTGGTTAAATGCAGGAATCAAAGAGCCTGAGCTCTGTTCCAGCCACTGAGTCTGTGCAGCAGCATGATTTTGTCGACTCCGTACAACCTGTCTCCAAGCAAAGTAAGGTCATTCCCAAGAAAAGGAAATATTGGAGAGGCACCCGGTGACTTGACCCAGCATTGGAAGATCGGTGCAGCACAAAGCCTGACTTTTCCACCTGGCTTGATGAAATAGTTGTCTAATTCAGCATACTCCAGCAGCCTCAAATTAAGATTCCCAGTGGATTTTTGCTGTTGCATTTGTGCCTGAGTGTGTGAGTTCTTCTAGTATTTCAGCTAATCCCAGTGAGGTGCTGAAGTGTTGCTTCCAATAAAATATAGAATATTCTGTTTATTCCCAGCTGATCCTTTCTTAATCATCTTTCTAATGTTTTTTTGAGACAAAACACCGTTTTAGTGTTAGGTCCAAATCTCAATCTTCCTCATTTATCATCATTGCATAATAATCCCCCTCCTTTCCTCTGTGTTCTTTTACTACTTATATGGCTGATGTACTTCTATTTTTCAGTTTAATAACTGTGCACCAGTGGGATTTTCTGCTTTATCCTCAGTTTTCCATTGGTCTCAGGGAGGTGAAGAGACCTTTTATAGATCTTTCATAGAGCTTACCTGAAATGCACTCTCAATGGAAAAAGTGACTCATTCTTTTACTTTAAAAGAAACTGTTCACCACTACAGAGCTAGGCTATTTCTGCATAAACAGAAGTAAACAATGACCACAATTCCTGTCTTTGTTATCATTCTGAGTGCCTTTTTGGGTAGCATATACCGATAGCAGCAGAGGTGCTAAATTTTGGTTTCTTGGCTGCAGTATTATATCATTTACCATTCCAACTGTAATTCAGAAAATATCTCTGTGCCTTGATGATCTACACCCTCATGCTGTTTGACAGTAAGTGTGCAGACAGGCCCTTCAAGAGCAATTTCACAGTGAATAACCAGGTCTCCAAAAATGATGGGAAGCCACATCTGAGCCACAGCCAGTCTCTCATTGAAAATGAAATTACTTCTAGAAAGTAAAAGGTCAGTTTCAGCCCTTCTTTTAACTGCTGAAAGAGACATTAAAATACACAATGTGATGGATCTACGAGGTGTCTGCAGGGAGATGTGAAACACTAGGAAGCCATATCCATAGAGCTGCTAAAGGGAAATACTGATGTAGTTATTACTTGAAGCAAGTATTTGCCATCTGTCATCATGATACCTGGAGACCTGATAGACCTTAATTTGACACTTACAGCATGCAATCAGAGAAGGCACTGTGCTCAGCTGTGCTCTGTGATTTTAAGAATAGCCTAGACTCAAATCAATTGAGATCTGGCTACACAGGTATGTCTTGCAGCTCTTTGCAAGAGCAGCCTGCTCAGCTCCCCAGCGCTGTACAGACTTTCAGGCTGTGCTTCTCAAGCTCAGCTGCACTCTTTCTGTTATCTGTTGTTGACTGCCTGCCCATCCTTCTCAGGCATCCTGCTCAGAAGCGTGTGTTTTGATAAGGTTTCTGCATGGAGAGGGGTCAGTTAGATGTGTTGCTGTGTATACTACAAAGAAGTTGATATCCAAGAAAGAAATACATTTTTATTTGAAAGCCAAAAATTATGTGGTTTCAGATATTCTGAACTTCCTGGGGGAGTTCGCTGTATGCTCATAGATAAAGCCTCTCTTCTGTCAAGATCACTTCTTCCCAAGGAAAAGACTATCAAATCCAGTAGGAAGGTCTACTGCATTCCCTAATTCCTAATTCTAACAATTGTGCAATTACATATCTAATTCTTTGCTAGACAAATTGTTCTAGTGAAACCCTTCTGTCTGCAATAATAGAAAATTTAGTCCCTCATGTTCTAAGTGAGGCTAGAACATAAAGAGAAACCATCAGAGAACCTGAGTATTATATTTTAGGGTTCTGCATATGTCTGCAGGCAACCTACATTTATCCAGCTGCCACTGTAACCTGAAGTATATTCTTCATCTCACAGTAATAGAGTTTGAGCCGTACAACAATTTCATCTTATGGCTTATTTATTCCTTAAATTCTGGCAATATGCTAAACAAAATCTTAAGTCTGTATCTCCAAAAGTTTGCAATCTAGTGGCAAATCCATCAGAACATTTAAAGATTAAATTCTTTGATCTAAATATCACCCCGAAGCAGCTGTAAACTTGCAGTCCATAAACTTAATCACTCAAGCTCTTCTAACTATTAACACCGTGTACTATACACAAAAGTGTGATGGAAGATGATACCTTTATTTTGTTCAGTGAAAATTAAAACTATATTCTCTACTAGTGAAAAAAAAAAAAAAAAGAAAAAGAAAAAGCCCACTGCAAACTGCTGATAAGTCAATGCAGTATTTTGTGTCGTGTTGTTCTTTTTCTCTTGTTCCCCTGTTGCTGAAACCAGAAAATCTGTAGAAAACATAGCTCAAGGCTGATCGAAACCAGAGCAAAGGCTCCCTTTCTTTTAGTGAGCTTTGTTTAAGACTTTGATCATTGAGAAAAATATATTCCTGAGTAGAATAATTTTAATTCAGCATGAGTTTGTTACTTGAAAGAGAGGAATGATGGTTTTTAGCAAAAGAATGTCAAATAAACCCCTGTTTCTTAATGTGACTAGAATGACTAAAATCAGAGTATCTTACGATTGTAATTTTTTTTCTCTGCTTTTAGCTATGGATAAAGGAATATGCTCTGTCTGCTGTGATGCAAAAGCACATGTCTGAGAAACAAGAGAAGATAATTCAAGGTGTCATAAGCAGACTAGGATGCCTCAGTGATGAGTAAGCATGGTTTTATCAGTAAGCAGTGGGATAAAACTACACTGCTGCATGCACAGATAAAAACTTGTGTCCATTACATTGTGGAAAGTAGTGTTCAGGGATTATGAGCATCTTCAGACATGAAGGCATTTACTCTAGTTTTTTGTCTGAGTATCAAAAACAAATTAAAAAAAAAACAAATACCATGATTGTAAATAGTAGAAATAGTCTTCTGTGATTTGTCAAGTGATGTGCTTTCTGTGTATGTACTCCTATGTTTGTGAGTGGTTTCTAATCTTGAACAAACCTCTCTCTGCACTCTATGTCACACTGGAGTTGTATATTCTTCAAAGTAAAATGTTCAGTCCAGCACCATTCATCTCTACCTTTATTTTCTGCTATTACAATACCACTGACCATCACTTTGCATGATAATGACTCTTCTCTTGCATTCTCTGTCTATAATTACCAAGGAAACTTTTAGTTTTATCTTATCTTTGTACAGCTAAACATCTCTTTGATTTCAAAAAACCCATGATTCTGTGTTATCTGCCTTGTTTTGATTAAGATATCAAATTACTTCATTTACCATGGTCTTCACATTACTGAAGATCAAAGCATTTGAAGACCTGTCTATTTAGAGTATTGATATTACTGCCATTGCATTCCTTTATTTTGGCTCTACTTTTCAGTTCCACCTTCCATTGTCACATTCTCTTCAGTGTTTCCCAGCATGTGGTATTTCACTCACCTGGTCCAGAATCAACTTCAAAATTTGCTCTCCTGTTTAAAATTTACCACAAACCTGCTTCATCCATGAATACCCTGCCAGCTAATACTAGCCTCTTCAATATCTATCTCTTCAGAGTGTGCCTCCTTGTTAATCCAAGATACACTGTCCTGAATTTTCTTGAAATAACTTTCCTGTAGTTCTGATTACATTCTCTTTTCATCTTATATCATCTCCTATTAAAAAAACCCTTTTATTATGCAATTACAGGTGATTATTTATATGTTTTCTATTTTTATTTTAACTTCAGTGTGACAAACTAGAAGTCTATCACAGCAATACCTATTCTTTACAACTGAGCAGCTTTCAATGACATGCTTTGTACAAGAAGACATTACACAGAGTGAACAGTAGTAACTCTTCTCATCTTTGAGCAATGACTTTGCTGAACACAGGTGTGCCAAGTCAGCAAGCAGGTTAGCTGACTGATTTTTAATGGTCCTTTTGTACAGGTCTGTTAACTATATATTGCAAAAACACCGACTTCTGGTGTGTTCAGTACTCAGAAGGTTAACCCTCCGAAGAGTTGGAATGTCAGCCCTGGCCCGCATGAGACTGTCCAGAAAGAAGAGCCTGCTTCAGGAACTGAGAGAGCAACATACCCTGCAGAAGGGATCCTCCCTCTGTCAAGATGAGGACCAGTGGCAGCTACAGAACGCAGTGGTAGGTACAGTGTTGGGGTGGTTTTCTGCAGAGGTCTCATATGCTATGATGTCTGGCATTAGAAGAAGTAGCTGTAGGAGATCTCAAAAAATAAAAACGTTCAAGTTCCAAATAGAAAGGAAAGTATTCTCTGTCAGAAGTGCACCCACTTCTGTCACAGGAGGTACCTGAGTGTGCCTGTTTTGGTTTTGGCAGACATTTAAAATTCCTTAATACTTTACCTACTGGCTAACTATGTGATGTGTGTTATCATAGCAAGCTTATTTAGCTGTTTATTTTATATGAAAAAAAAAAAAAGAAGAAAGAAGGCATGCCAACATGTATAAAGGAATACTACAGAACTTAGTGCTTCAGGGTAAGATAAACTCCTACTAATGCTGCTAGGGATCACAACATGCACTTGGAAAGTTCTTACTTGAGCATAAAAATAAATTCTTTCCTCCACCAGACCTAGAAAGTTCTTCTATACTGTAATAATTTTTCATTCTTCTTTCTTTCTCCCCTGTCCATGAGATGCTCGGTATCTATTCCCCTGACATCCTTCCAAATCATCTGGCTCCTATAGGTCAAGGAGATGGGAGAAAGTTTAAGGGATTTTTAAACTTGATATTCGCACTGGTCGCTTTCAAATCTGTTTGTGACTTTGTTTTTTAGGGTGAATCCATTAAGTGTTGGTTATTTATTCATCTGCATTGGATATTTGCCTAGAACAACACTGAATTTCAGATTTCGACCTCAGAGGACCATCCTAGCAGGTGTCAGTAATAGCCCCTGCCCAACCCACTGTGGCTGCCTATATGGGTTGAACCCTTCCAAAACTTTGCAGATCTGTGCTCTGTGCTGTTGCTGTGTAATTAGTTGAGAGATAATATTTTGCATCCTTCTAATTCTGATTTGCATAATAATGCAATTCTCACTTTGAGGAACCTTGTCTGCTGGGGGCTGATGGGGTCCATCTGTCAGAGAAGGGGAAGAGCATCTTTGGTCACCCTTGCCAAGCTGGTGAAGAGAGCTTTAAACTAAAGTTGCTGGGGAACCTCCATCCATCCCACTCCTACCAGCTTGATGCCAATGCCAGCAACAGATGCCCAGAGCCTGGAGGGGGGTCACAGGTCAGCAGGAGAGCATGGGAAGAGCAGCACAAAGGAATTCTAGCCAGTAAGTCAGCTTCATCAGGGACCCAACTGAAATGCCTCTATGCAAATGGACGTAGCATGGGGAATAAAGGATGTGCACTACTGCAGGGCTACGATCTCATTGGCATCACAGAGACGTGGTGGGATGGCTCCTCTGACTGGAGTGTTGGAAGGGAAGGATACAGGCTCATCAGGAAGGACAGGCAGGGGAGACGATGAGGCAGGGTCACCCTCTATGTCAGAGAGCAGCTGCACTGCACAGAGCTCTGTCTGGGGATGGATGAGGAGCTGACTGAGAGCTTGTGGGTCAGGAAGGCAGGGACAGGACTCATTATAGTGGGGGTCTGCTACAGGCCCCCTGACCAGGAAGACCAAGTGGAGGAGGCCATCTATAGACAGATAGGAGCAGCCTCACTTTCAAAAGTCCTGGTCCTCCTGGGGGACTTCAACCACCCCCATTATCTGTTGGAGAGACAACACAGCAGGGCATAAGCAATCCAGGAGTTTCCGGAATGCCTTGATGATGACTTCCCTCTCCAAGTGATTGAGTAGCCAACAAAGAGAGGTGCTTTGCTGGACCTTGTTCTCACCAACAAGGGGGAGGCTGGTGGGGAATGTGAAGCTCAAGGGGCAGTCTTGGCTGCAGTGACCAGGAAATGGTGGAGTTCAAGATCCTTAGGGCATCAAGGAGGGTGCACAGCAAGCTTGGTACCCCGCTCAGGAGAGCAGACTTTGGCCTCTTCAGGGATTGCTTGTCAGAGTACCATGGGATAAAGCTCTGGAGGGAAGAGTGGCCCAAGAAAGCTGGTTCATGTTTGAGGATCACCTCCTCCAAGTCAAGTAAGAATACTAGGAGGCCTGTACGGATGAACAAGGAGCTCCTGGATAAGCTCAGACACAACAAGGAAGCCTACAGGGGATGGAAACAAGGGCAGAAAGCCTGGGAGGAATACAGAGAAACTGAGCAGGCAGGCATCAGGTTAGGAAGGCCAAAACCCTGATAGCATTAAATCTGGCCAGGGATGTCAAGGGTAACAAGAACTTCTGTAGGTATACTGGTGATAAAATGAAGACTAGGAACAATGTGGATCCTCTCTGGAAGAGAATGGGAGATTAATTACCCAGGATATGGAGAAGGCTGAGGTATTCAACAACTTTTTTGCCTCAGTCTTTACTGGCAAGAGCTCCAGCCACACCACCCAAGACAGAAGGCAAAAAGAGGGACTGGGAGAATGAAGAACCTCCCAGTGTAGGAGAAGATCAGGTTCAAGACCATCTGAGGAACCTAAAGGTGCACAAGTCCACGAAACCTTATGAGATACATCCATGGGTCCTAAGGGAACTAGCAGATGAAGTGGCTAAGGCACTATCCATCGTATTTAAGAAGTTGTGACAGTCCAGTGAAGTTCCTGCTGAGTTGAAAAGAGGAAACATAACCCCCATTTTTAAAAACGGAAAAAAAGAAGAACCAGGAAACTATAGGCCAGTCAGTCTCACCTCTCTCTCTGTCAGGATCATGGAGTGAATCCCCCTGGAAATTATGCTGGGGCACATGGAAAATGAGGAGGTGATTGGTGACAGCCAACATGGTGCCTGATGAATTTGGTGGCCTTCTGTGATGGGGTTACCATGTTGGTGGATAAGCACAGAGCAGGTGACATCTACCTGGACTTCTGCAAAGCATCTGACACTGTCCTGCACAACATCCTTGTCTCTAAATTGGAGAGATATGGATTTAACAGATGGACCACTTGGTGGATAAGGAATTGGCTGAATGGTCACACTCAAAGAGTTCTAGTCAACGTCTCGGTGTCCCAAGTGGAGAACAGTGACAAGTGGAATTCCTCAGGAGTCGGTACTGGGACTGGTGCTGTCTAACATCTTTGTTGGTGACATGGACAGTGGGAGTGAGTTTGCTGATGACACCAAGCTGTGTGATGTGGTCAACATGCTGGAGGGAAGGGATGTGCCATCCAGAGGGACCTGGACAGTCTTGAGAGGTGGGCCTGTGCAAACCTCATGAAGTTCAACAAGGCCAAGTGCAAGGTCCTGCACATGAGCCAAGGCAATCCCAAACACAAATACAGGCTGGGCAATGAGTGGATTGAGAGCAGCCCTGTGGAGAAGGACTTGGGGGTGTTAGTGGATGGAAAACTGACTGTGAGCCAGCAATGTGCACTCGCAGTCCAGAAAGCCAACTGTTTCTGGGCTGCATCAAGAGAAATGTGGCCAGCAGGTTGAGGGAGGGGATTCACTCCCTCTGCTCTCATCCCCACCTGGAGTGCCGTGTCCAGCTCCAGGGCCCCCAGCCTAACAAAGGCATGGACCTGCTTGAGTGAGTCCAGAGGAGGCCACAACTCTGATCTTGGCTGGAGCACCTCCCTTATGAAGACAGGCTGAAACAGTTGGGATTGTTCAGCCTGGAGAAGAGAAGGCTCCAGGGTGACCTTATAGTGGCCTTCCAGTACTTAAAGGGGACCTACCGGAAAGATGGAGAGGGACTCTTGATCAGGGGGTGTAGTGACAGGATGAGGGGTAATGATTTTAAACTGAAAGAGTGTAGATTTAGATTAGATGTAAGAATGAAATTCTTTACTGTGAAGGTGGTGAGACACTGACACAGGTTGCCCAGAGAAGCTGTGGCTGCCCCCTCCCTAGCAGTGTCCAAGGCCAGGTTGGACGGGGCTTTGAGCAACCTGGTCTAGTGGAAGGTGTCCCTGCCCATGGCAGGGGGGTTGGAGTAGGTGATCTTTAAGGTCCCTTCCAACCTAAACCTATTCTAGGAATGCAATGTGTATACTATGAATAGAAACCCTAATTTTCCTCTTGGAAGAGTCTGCTGCCATTTCCATGTTTGATTCCTCTGTTGAAGTAGTTCCTGACAAGTGTGAAAATCTCAAAATCTCATTAAGCTACAGCAGAAATAAAATATAAAATAATAAAATACAAATGCATATAAACGAATTCCTCTTGTTATGTGTTTTCCACTACTTGCTCTCACTTAGCTCCCACAGGGATGTTAATTGATGCAATCACTGTGTTCCCTAGCAAAAAAAATGAAATGTACCCAGGAATTACTGTTCCTTTGGCCTCTCTCCATTACAGCCTCTTTCCAGGGCCAGCTAACACCCATCTTGCAACGAAGTGCCTAAAAATACACATATAAGATCCTTGCAGCCAGAGACAGGTGTGGAACTGTGAAAAGTCAAAGAGAAAAAAAATATTATTAATAACCTCTAAAACTAGAACCAGTGTATAAGGAATTAAGGAAGAAGTTAATTTACAGACACTCAACCAGAGTTTTAGATATACTGTGTTGATTGAACTAAACTTAGTTCAAACAAATATTTTAGTTTGTGCTAATTTTAGACTGTTAGACAGTGTCATGTCTTCCTATTGATTTCATAAAAATGTAAAACAACACTAAAGAATTGTACCTTGGACATCATCATATGATGTTGGGTTTCTTAAAAAAAATATAAACTAATTAATGACATTCCAACTGTCTAAGGAAAACCATCAAAACATATATGTCTGAGCCTTAAATAAAGACATGTCAGAATAACCCAGTGTTAATAGGGGCATCATTATTTTCCACAGATGAATGTGGGCAGAGCAGGTTCTTTTTCTACTTGCATTTTGTATTTTCAAGACGGCATCAAATAGGTACTGTTGAATACCCCAGAATAACTTAATGTTATTTAGCCTTAAATGAGAATATTAATATAAGAGGGATGTCAGCAACTCAGTAGAAGGCTATGGAAGACTAATACATGTAAGGAAGACAGAACAGGTCATGCTGGTGAGTATATACTATTGTGTGCTAAAGAGAGTTTAGAGGGAAAGTGGATTTTAAAAGAAGCATAGAAAATGATGGCAAGGATAGTCCAAAGACCTCAGGAGATTAAAACTCTTAAGCCTAAAAAAAAGAGATGTCTTCTGGATTATCATAGGTTTTAAAACTGGCATAAAATATGTGAATAGGGAACAATTTTTCACTTGTTTCTAATTTCCTGCAAAAGAAGAAAAGAGCACCCAGCAAAGATGTTAGATGGCAGGTTCAAAATTAAGAAATGTTTGGATAAACTGTAGAACTCACCATCACAGGATGCTGTAGATGCCAAGAGTGCAGATGGTTGCCAAGTGCTACTAAACATGTTCATGACCTCTCCCAAGGTCCATAAGTACCAATGAACCAAATTTTTCTCAGGTAGACCCCACAAACTGTACAAGTATTTCAGGTGCAATAACTGTATACTTGCCTTGTTCCTGTGCATTTTCTCAAGGCATCCACAATTATCCCTGACTGGACTTAGGGCCAAATTCAACAGTACAGAATACAGAAATGGGAATGCATCACTTGGAAATGACTAATGGGGCAGGATGCAGCGGTTACTGTACATGTATTAGATTGTACTGCGCATGTATTGTACATGTATCATGTAAAATATGGATCTGTATATCATGACAGAGGCAGTAGTTTAATTGCAAGAAAAATATGTTAAAAGATGTACATAAAGTTCCACTGGAAATTAGATTATTTTAAGTATTGAAACAATAACATTCTGAGTGGGTGTAGGACTTTCTTTTAAAATGAAGCTGACTAAATTTGTCAACATATTTAAATGGCAGTGCTGTCTTTTTGTCTGATTACCAGGAGTCCCACATTTTGGAAGAGGAGGAGAAGCTTGAGGAAGAAACGCAGCAAATGCATTTAGAATTCCACCACCAGCTAGTCACAGAAATCCAAGAAGCTCTCCAGTTTCTTCAGCAGCACATGGAGCAGGTGATAGGGCAAACACTGCTTCAGCATGCCCGACGGGAAGCTGGAAAAAAGAGTTCAGATGATGGACAGGATTTCAAGGTATGAAAATGTTCAGTAATGGTTTTCCAAACAAAATGAGTGCTACTTTGCTAAAATGGAATTTCATTTATGCACTACCCTATGTCTAGAAGTGTCAGCAGGAGGTCATTACAATCTGTGTTAAAACTGCAAGTTAATACTTTCCAAAGTATTTACTTATGTAGAAGTAGAGTATTTTCTAGTGACTTGCTATAGCAGCCAGAATGGGTTTTATTAAGCCAAACCCTGGGACATAAAAAAATTGAGAGTTCTTGACAGAGAATTACAAAAATGAGGAAGAAATGGAGATGGTTATCTTTTGATGAAGGTTTTATGGTTAATTGATAATACTTCTGTATTAACAGCTTAATATTTATGGATAAATAATTTTTAAAAAATAAAACTTGCTTTATAGGTTAATAAAATTGTTCCAGAGTAAATATTTGGATTTTCTGTATAATGGAAACTTGTAATGGAGCTACACGTATATTGTTTTACTTTACTAGCAGTCAGGTTGACAGGTAAAATGGGTTCAAGAGATTGAACAGATAGGGGAATGGCTCCTTCCCAGATGGAAGTGAGGCACATTAGAAAGATTTTACTGTAATTTTTCAAGTTGAAATGTTCCATGGATGAATAGAAGTACCAGCATCTCAGTCTGCCACATTTTTAAAGCACAAAATTCATAATTTTGTGTGTGCATACAAAATTAGGTTGGGTCTTCAATTTTAGACAGATCAAAACACTTCAGTTTTTGACTTAGAAATCAATTGTGACTTGAACTGTGTAATATAGGAGAGACTGGTGGAAGCTGCTGTAGAGAGTGTGTATGGGACCAGCAATAATATCAACAGACTGGTGCAAAATTACTATCAACAATTAGGAAAAATCACAGAAGGCTATGAAGGGAAAAAGCTTCAACAATTGAAATCCTTACAAGGTAAGTACGATATTGACAACTGTAAGATAATTCTTGGTTTTTAATGGATAAATTAATTTTCTTATCACAATAAAAACAGAAATCTGTTATTTAAAGTAAGCAACAGAGCAAAATGAATGTGTAGGTCCATTTCCATCTTTGAAGGAGAAGTGATAGAAGTCTTATTATAATAATTACTTGAATTACAGTCATAGCTGCAGGATCCTGTTACTCAAAGTTTGGTACAGACACACACAGAACAATGACTCAGTGTTGGAGATTGTAGTTTAACCATGACCTCTGATTCGCTAGGCTAAGATCAGAGATACACCATAGTCATAACCACCAGCAGTTGATTTTCTGGTGCTCTAAACCTCAACACAAGACAGAAGAATTTAGGAAACAAGAAGTTGTACAAGTGTTAGGTTGTACAGCCAACATCTAACATAAACACTATTCAAATTTGCATATTAATATATCCCAAAAAATGAATCAAATATTCCTAAGGAGAGGGGGCATATGATGAGTGCCTACAAGCTGAATCTTTTCCCTAGATGGGAGGAGATCTGGGTTTGCAATCCCTGCTCCCATGTTAGAAAACATAAACATCATTGGTAGACAGTCTTCTTCCTCTGATGTGACTGCCGTGAGCTTTGGGGAGTAGATTCTTATATTCATTCCTGGTTTTTGGCTCAGTGAAATGTTGTTGTCTCTGAAGTTGAGGAAGTGCATTGGAGGAGACCAAAAAGCCAAGTGTGCCCATCCTGGAACACTCCATGAGCTACTGCATTGTTTCTTAGCTGTCAACCATGACCCTCTCACAGGTTGTGAAACTGTTGAAGAGGTTTATGAACTGCTGGATCTCACATAAATACAGGCAGATTCTCCTGGAATTATTTTTAATTGCTCAGTTCCTTCAGGCCAGGAGAAGAAAAGCAAGCTGTGGTTACTGATTTATTTTGTAAACACTTTCCCCTACCCTGGATGAAGGCTGTTGGCACTAAATGAAGTTAGCAAATTAGCAAAATGTCAGTAGCATCAGAGACTAAGTATTTGAGACACATGGATTAGATTTTTTTCTAAAAATAGAGTTAGCAATTTTAAATAGAAGAGAATCTTTAACCACAGAAGAGAGTTTTTAAAGAGGAACAGGCATATCCGCTCAAGCTGAGATCCAGAGATGAGTTGGTAGGAAGGATTTGTGAGCCACTTTGCGAGCCCCAGTAGTGGCTCGATACACTTACTGGTTCTAAGAGAGAACCAATCTGTTTTGCACTGCCCTGTTGTGAGCCTTGAAGACTTTAATATTGGAAGCTGAACTGCTAGGGTAAGGGAAAATCCGTTCAGGGATTTTTGATGATCTGTATTTTAGACATTGGCAGCTAGCAAGGCAATCAGTTACTTAAGTTCTCACAAGTCCCTCTAAAGACCTCTTTGGCCCTGATTCAGCTAACTACAGTGTCTAAAATCCCTTTGATTGAGTTCTTTTAAGCAGGAATTAAAACTGAAGCCTGTTCCAGAATGCTTCTCTGATCTGAGCTGAGAGATGTCATTACACACTTGAATGTCCTGTTTCATTGGTGTTTTGATACTGCTCTCAACTGGTCTCCCAGTTAGGTTATGAGACCTAGAATACCAATCACTAGAACGACAGTCAGCCTTCTGTTGATTGCTCATTGAGAGTATTTTTAATTCTAGGGTTTGTATGGATACATTATTGTTTCAGTATATTTGTGTTCCATGAACCACAAGGAAGAAAACTACATGTATAAGGGGAGCACATTTTCTTTTCAAGTGAAGAAAAATAAAATCCTTCTGCTGCAGTGCAAGCCTACAGGCGTTTTAGATTTGGATGGCCAGAGAGAAACACAGATGAAATTCAACTATCAAATGAAAAAAAATATTGCAAACCTACATGCACATCCTGCAGCCCAGCTGAGATTTTCAGTATCAACAGTTAACTACTTCAGCTTTGTTGGTACTTTTTACATTAGGAGTGAGCAGTACCTTCTAATAAGGAACTTTGATACTTTAGTACCTGAAAGTCCTTCTTTAATCGAAGTCCAAATTTGTGATGCAGAACCCCACTCCTTTCTCCTTTCCATTTCTGTATTGGCCCTGGAAGCACTTACATTTCTCTCCGTGATTCTTAACAGCCTGAAGCTCTGCTCCAGGCCACAGCCAGGACACCCTAAGCCCCCCTAGCCAGAGAACTACTTTCCATCCAAGCTCAACCTGGAGGCAGAACATCCATGTTTCTTCCTTTTCAAAAGAGGCTGATCTGTTAGGGGATCTCCAAGCATGATTACCACTCATGAGCTTGTGAGCCTACTCACCAAATTCTCTCATAACTTTTCTCTCTAAAATAGAAGATGGAAGAAACAGTATTGGCAATAGGGCCACATACTGTGTGGTAGCCCTGGGGTTAAATGGCCACATGCAAAATTTCTTAGGTACTTCATTCAGGGATAGTTAAATGGGAGTAAGAACTGTAATGCTGGGCTTCTCTCTCCCAGTGACTGTACTTAATGTCAGGCTAGAGGATTTTGCTTCTTTGGACATCCCTTGGTTTAGCAAATATGAATTAGCAGTCTGGTACATCCACAGGAGAGTAGCTCCCCTCACCCAGCCAGTCCAGCCAGCCTAGAGTACAGACAGTAACTGCTCCCTGATGATGCCATTAGTAGGAGAGGTGTCTGTCAGCCTCTCCGAGTGTTCAGAAAACATTGGTTGCTCTCCAAATGAATGTTATGTACCCTAATCTGTTACAAACCCATCAATCTCCTTATTTCTGCATTTTATTTAAAAGTAGCAGTGCAAGGAAACCGGTCGTATCTGTCAGACATGCCCCAAGACTTGCTGCCAGGCAGGACTTCAGGGACAAGAGTCAGGAGCCTGGTCAGCAGATAAATGCCAAGTTACCTGCAGAGTGTGAGCATACACAAAAGTACCAGAATGCTTATCCATCAAGTGAGCAGACATCTAGTGAAGTTAGTGGCCTCCGAGCAGAGGTTTTCTTTGTATTGCATTTTTCATTTGGGTATTACAGCTCTTGCTTAAGGCATCAAGGTCTTTTTATAAAATGTCTAGTTTGAATTTCATGTTAATCAGTTAGCCTAGTGGAAGATAAGAATAGGAATTCAGTGACATTACCATCTCAGCTATATGATGCACAAACTACTGTCTGTGCAACGGATCACAGTGGCAGAGTAAGTGTGTGTAAGAAGTACTTGGTACTAAGGAGCAGTAACTTTGAAAAGACTATCCAGAAAAGGGATTAATTTGTGCTGATGCAAAACATAAATTGTAGGGTTGCACAACTCAGAGTTTGTACTTTTAAGCAGAAGATTTTACAAAAACATTATTTTAGCAGAAAGAGGCGAAAAGAACAGACTTAGGAAGAAGGAAGAGAATGAACTGGCATTGAAAGAAAAACAGACCAAAGGCCTCCTGAACATATCATCCACAGTCCATCAAAGGTAAGAGCAGGCAGCAGCACTCCTGGCTCTATTTAAATGTTGTGAGTGTTTGCAGATCTACATAAATGTCTAGCTGAATAAATGTTTTGGGTTTGCATTTTATTTTTGTCTTTGATGGAAAAGAAATATCTCTTGCCAAATTGTGTCTGTCCTTTGATCTCAGAGAATTACTTTCTTATTAAATAAACTTTTTGATGCTCATTAATTACAGACTGAAGAACTATACATAGACAGTTTGAAAATAGAGAATGAAAAACAGTGCCAAAACATATGCCATATTTTAAAAGTTTAGCATAAATGTAGGATGGGAACCAATGGTGTCTAATTCATTACATTCCATCTTTCCTGCTTTGAACATCAAAAGTGTTCTTTAATTTGCTATTGAGCAAGCATATACCATAATGAAGAGAAAAGCATAAATAATACTCAAAATGGCAAGAAGATTTCAGTGAATGCCTTGGACAATCAAAATTACTTGCACTAGATTTAGAGTGGAATCCATCAAATATTAATTAAATAAAAATCATATTTAATTCATTACTGATTTTATGAAACTTAGAGTCCAGACAAAAAGCACTGCAATTCCAAAGGAGTAAGTTGTCATAAAAAGCTGTTTGACTTGGCATGCACATGATACATTTTTGTAATAATTTTATTTCTTTACTTTTGGTTTATTATGCAGAACAACACAGCATCTTCAGTTTTGACATTGTAACGAGGTTAATTATTTTTTTAAGACATTCTAAATTGAAATAAATTATTTCCCACTTTCCATTTTTCATCCTTGTTTGAATTAGTATAGAAATGGATTCGTGTAGTAAAGGGTTTCATAAAAGATCTGTTATTCATTATCCAGTTTATAATATATTCTGACATATAAATTCACTTCTAGGTGTTGTCTTAATTTTTTCTCCCATAATCCATTCTAGGGTCATAAAATACAATCAAACTGGCCTTCACGCAAGTGGAAATACGGTACTGAAGAATGTAACTATTCAGTATCTAAACTGGTCTCATAACCAGTAGTAATCAAACTCATTTACCTATTGTCATTTACAGTCAAATCCCAGTCCTGGGTAAATTGATGACAAAATTTCCACTAATTTGTCTAACTCCTATTAAACTCAACATAGATTGTTTTATTTCCCTTTGTCCTTGATGCAAGGTTACAAGTGTGAGTTCAAAAAGCAAATTTTGAAAGCTCACCTCCTGTAAGCATTGACCATTACAATAGCAACTTCATTATGTTTAGATGTCGGAAACAATTTGTGTTATCTCCTTCCCTGAGGAATGTGATGGGTGATTGACAGCATTGCTTCAAGGTAGATCGGGCAAGAGAACAGAAGAAATAAAAATTCAGCAAAGTTGCAGCCATTCAGGTTCTACTGTATTAATCTTTAACCAGCAAAATAAAATAAGCAAATAATATAGTTGTCAGTGCTCCCAGTCACCAAGTTTTGAGTTACCATGTTTCTGGCTCAGACTCAGCTTGATAGTGAAGAGCTCTGAATGAAATGCCTAATTCTTAATCCCTTATCCTCACACCTGATCTTGTAACAGCTTGTGTCTTTTGCAAGCAGACTGTAAAGCTGGCTTTAGAAACATACGATGGTTTTGAAAGCAGACTATAACGTTAGAGCTGAACTCCAGCTCCCAAAGTCCAGACATGGACAACCCAAACTCCTGCTGTGATTCCTACCTCTGAAAGGAGCTTGTATCCCATGGAAAGCCAAGGCAGTTTAAGAAAATAAGTAAATCTATTTAAAAATCTACAGCAAAATTTTTTGTCCCAGCAGAAGCTGGGCCGATATTGTAAGTGAACCTTTCTCTCTACAAAATCTTATAAATACATTTTACCAGGATTGTATTCCTCCATTGAACTGAACAATACCAGTACTGTAAATTTCTCTTGACCAGGATGGTGCTGCAACAAAAGAAGGTTTTGTCTCAGTTTGAACTGCAGCAACAAATTCGTCTGGAGTCTCTGAAACAAAAGCTGCTGGGATTGCATCATCTAGAAACAGAGTTGGAGAATCAGCTAAAGGTAAATCAGAGTAAAATGATTCATGGATCTGAAACAGTCCATGGCAAAACACTGGACAGATTGTAAGGGTCTCTTTGCTGTCCTAGTTGAAATCAGCACTAAGATTCACCACTGTCTTGTAGGAAATGCTTCCCTGATGCTAGCCATAGTGTTTCCTGTGTTTCTGCAATGAGATAGGTCTTTTTTGTCATGCCACATGTTGAATAATGTAACACAGAATCAAGCTGTGTTGTGGTAACTGACTTCTGGTTTATCCTTGTGTGCCAACAGGAAGCAGAGCAGGACTTTGTCAGCGAGTTGGCTGCGCTGGCACGAGTTCCAGTCGCTGTGAAGAAGAAGCCTTCAAAAAAGAGCAAGCCAGCAGGTTGGTACAATACTGAATTGTTTAAGAAAACTTATATCATTCCACTTATCAGTGCATATTTTGCAATATAACACAACAGAATTTCAGGAGAGATTTTTCATCAGTGTCATTTCCCTAATTGGGATGTAGAAAAGTAAGGCAACCTTCCAAGGTCACCCGACTCACCAGTAGCACAGCCACAAATGTCACCCTTCCTCACTTCCAGAGCAGTCCTTTAACCAATAGATCACACTGAGTCCACCGAGGTAAGGCTTTGCCTTGCTCAGAGCAAAGTTATTTTTCATGTCTTTGCCATTTAGAAATGACTGTTCACCTCAATCACTAAGTCTCTGGGATTCAGCAGAGCTGAATCACCCAGCTTTCATTCTCCTCATAGAATGGAATAATCGCTTCCCACACACATGCTCAAAAGTAAAATCTCACTGAATCAGGAAACTTGAAATATTTATATGAATTTACTGCAGCTTTAACAAATTAGACTGCTTCATTATTCAAGAGATACTTCGGAACAAATTGTCAGAATAGCAGTGGTGTTTCCTGATCCACATGTGAGGTGGAGTGTGCAAATTCTCATCCTTTGAGCCATGCAATCTTTCTGTCATTATCAGAATGAAACATTTGTCATTAACATTTGAAAGATGCTAAAAGGTGAGATGGGTGCTCAAAAGGGGAGAGCAGCTCACTCACCTGGACAATTTTGAAGTCTCTCTCCCCAGTCAGTTGTTTCTCAAGCATGAAGAGCTGTTTGCCCTGGTAGACACCATGACCCCAGGGACACATGTGGAAGCTTAGCCCAGGGCCCTAAAAACAGTGACTTCTTAACATCAGATTGTTCTGATTCAAATCACATAAAATGATGAATTGGCTTTTCTTCTGATTGCTGGTAGTGAAAAGCCATTTTCAATTACTTGCTAAGAAAATATATGATAGGTCTTTCAACTGTTGCAACTCATGGAAACTTAGTTCAGTGTTCAGCAAGTGTGAAAGTTCAAGATCTGCTCTGTGAGAACTAAACAATGGTAAAAAAACAATATTGTAGACTAATATAGAGTGGAATGCTTTCCTCGGAATAATAACATGAATGTATGAAGTGTTAGAGTATATTTTTTTCTTTGGATTAATCAAAACCAAACAAGCCCTACTATATGTGATTCTTTTTTCTTTTAATCCACATGGATTTGGCAATTCAGGGGAAAAAACAAACTCAAAAAGGAAGACCTTTCAGTCACCAGAATCAGCAGACAAAGATGATTCTCATGAAAATACTCAAGAGCCCCCTGGACTGATTTCTGGCTTTTGCAGGTACAGTAGAGGCTAAAAAAGTGGTGTGTGAAAAACTGTTTATAAAAAGCAGTACAAAATCTACTTCATAAGCAGGTATGTCAATCAAACCCAAAATACAATGCCTACACTATCTGAGCTTCTTCCTTCATATGTACTTGACATTTTTTTCTCCCATATTCTTTTTTAAATTTAGGAAAATCATCTGAGTTTTCTTCTCTGTGCTGCTATGTATTTTATAAATAACTTTGATTTTAGATAAAGAAATGAGAAATACTGTTTCCCAATTTCCTTTAATTAGGTTTTTAAAAACCTGAATCACAGACAGCATAAATCAGCAGAGACAAGTGAATCCAGTGGAACTAGTCTGACATGTAGCAACCAAAATATGGTCTGTGGTATTTAGGCTTTCAACTTCCACCTTTATTTCAGGAACAAAGGCAAGCGCCAGTCTTTGGCTGATGAGGGTAGCAGCTCTAACAATGATTTTCTTGATAGATGTTTCAGTTGGCTTATGCTGGGGTGCTAACTAGAGGAGAAGAAATGGCTACAAACCTGAAAGATGCCAGCTGATTACTACGGGCAGATCAAAACCAGCCAGCTGGTCGCTGGGGCTTGATATATTGAGCAGAGAAAATCCTGTTGACAGGCAAAGCAAACAGTTGGTTCTCAGGAGCCACAAGCCTTTGGGGAAAAGTATTTATCCCCTGAGTGACCTCAGCCTGGGACTGACTTCAGGAGATGGCTCCTTTCCCTGATGGCATCAACCCTTTTCACACACTCCTTTCCCACAGCAAACAAGGGATACGTGTGTAGGGAACAGGGACCCAACAAAGGAACGTTTATCTTTATGCAACTTTGTTTTGGCAGCTTCAAGAGAGGCAGCTGAAACCAATGAGTGCAGAAGTTATAATTACATAGCAAGCGCTTTTCTTCTCTTATCACAATTAATTTAGTTTAAGAGAGAATTGTAGCATTTTAAAACCTCTGTCTACAATTTTGTTTTATTTTTCTTATTTCTTTCAGAGGGAAGTTGCAGAGTACACATGAAGGGGAGACTGAACCAAGGAAAAACTCAAAGATGTCAGAAAAAATAGGCAACAGATAGTAAAAGTATTTATATGAGCTGTCTGAACACAGAGTACCAAAGCATTCTTCTGGGGAACCTCAGCAGCTATAAATACTTACTGAGCTGTTTTACTGAGGAACAGCGAAGAACATCAATAATAACTGAGAAATCTTCTTTAGCTACAGACCAAGAATCAATCCTGACTTCCTTTAGCTGTTAATAAAACATTGCCACTGGGTTCTGTTAAGGGGCAACAAGGAAGTATCTTCCAGATCGCCTGGGGAATGTGGAGAGGAGATAGTTTTAAATTAGGAATGTACCTGAGGGAGTTGCTCTTGTAGGAGAACAGATCCACACTAGGCTGGTTGCCCAGGCCAGTGTATCTCAGTAAGGTTTCATTACAATATGAGGTACTTTTGAGATTTTAGGGCTTTTTTTTGCCCTAAATGTGGTAGATCAGGTCTTAATATTTTGTGATTGCTGCTTTGGAATAACAAAACTAGGGAGAAATGTAAAGAATATGTAAACAGATTTCAGAAGATATTGGTACGTCAAAAGATTACATTTGGTCTCTTTTGTTATATTTTAGTACTTTCAAGACTGTATGCTTTTTTATATTTGTACAAAGATTTTTATAAATGTATTTCTCTGCATTTGCCTCAGATTTCAAATTATTATTTGCAGGGAGAATGGGACAAAACCAGTTTACTCTTTCATTTTTTATACTTTAGTTTCTAGTCTTCTTCCTTAAGTAACTCTTTTGTTTCCAACTTACTTTGTTACGCTCATTATGCTTCCTATGGGAATTCTTCTTGTTATGCAAAACAGCTAGTTCTTACTGGCTGTACAGAGCACCTGTATGGTGTAATAAATTGCCCCACTTAAGCAATCTTACAGCTTTCATGAAATGAAAATTTTCTGCCTTTTAAAAATGAACATACATATTGCTAATGAAAAGGCTGTCCATTGGCACGTGATGGAAAATACTACATCAGTTATGTAGTTTACCTCAGACAAAAGTGCTGCCACACAGATTACTTTACTAAGCGTGTTACACACAATTGTTAAGTGGTTAATTTTCACCTCAATCGCTGTAATTTATTTTTTTTTCCAAATTGTATCACTTCAAGCATTTGATTCTGGTATTTCCCATACTTGAGCACCGTGGTCTGTCTGCCTTCCTGACTTGGTCATTTTAGTTGCTGCTCATTGTGCTTTTATTTAAATGGATGCAGCATAATTACCTCTGTTTGAACATCTTAATTCTGCAGTGCTAGAAGGAAGCTTTTAATATCAGAGTTGACGTTTTAAACCATGCAGCGCAGCAGCGGCTCCCACAGTCACAGTTAGGATGCAGCATAATTACCCAAGCGGGGTCTCTAATTACCCAAGCTCGGTCTCTAATGACTCTGATTACCCAAGCCGGGTCTCTTATCACCCAAGCGGCGTCTCCCCAGTGCACTGTGACGCCTTTGCTCAGCAGGCCTGAAATGGCTTTTTCTCTCCGTTAGAAAACGTGTAAAGGTTCAGATTATCCCAAAAGCAGGGCAGCAGTGCCCTCTCCCGGGCAGCAGGAAGGAGCCAGGGAGGGTGCCTGCTGTCGGCAGGTCCCCGCTGCCAGTGCCCGGTGCTGCGGCTGCACCGGCTGCCCGACGGCCCTGGGCGGGAGGTTCTACCTACAGCTTCTTCTCTTCTCCCACAGACGTTAGCTTCCTGGCAAAACACACGCTACTCTTGTTCCTGTTACTGACTACTCAGTCTCCTTGAGTTACTGATGGATTCACTGTCCTTTTTCAAGTCATATGCAGATTTCATGCTATCATGGCACTTGCCATCACTCCCTGCCAGTGATGCAGATATTGGACAAGACAGTTTCACTAGCCCAAGAAACAAGTGGATCAAATACCAAGCTAAGCTCACAGCAGTTGTTCTTTATTTAAGCACTGGCCAACTTTTATGTTCTGTTATAGAATCGTAGTATCATATAATCATATGAGTTGGAAAAGGCCTTTAAGATCATCGAGCCTAGCTGTAAACCTAACACTGCCAAGTCCACCACTAAACCATGTTGTTAAGTACATCTACACGTCTTTTAAATACCTCCAGGGATGGCAACTTAACCACTTTCCTGGGCAGCCTGTTCCAGTGCTTGATGGCCCTTTCAGTGAAGAAATTTTTCCTAATATCCAGTCTAAATCTCCTCTGGCATTTTGTTATGTTTTATGTTGTGTTATTCAACTTTAACCATAGTAACAGTATTCTAATGCTGAAGGTCTCCCTCTCATCTCCTGACATAGTCATTACAGACTGGGTTTCTTTACTCTAGTCCCTCAGTTCAGTTTAAATCCATGTGACTGCTTATTTCTGAGCCAACACAGAACAGTACAGAGACTAAGATTTTTTTCTTGATGCTGTGAAATACTTTATCACCTGTCAAATAGGCACAGCTTATTGCAGTAGTTATAAATTTCAGCACAGACATTCCAGTTATTCAGCAGATAGAAAAAATTCTGTGCCATGAAATGGGTGAATCGCTGGAACAGGTAATTCAGAGAGTGCGGAATATTCATCCTTGGAAACTTTCAACTCAGCTGGACAATGTCCTGATCAACCTAAGTGTGCAGTTAGCCCTGCTTTGAGTAGGAGGCTGAACTCCAGATGACAGTCTTCCAACCTAAATCTTTCCATGATTCTAATATTCCTTCCTACTGATATGTTACCGGAATGTTTGGTGCTTTCCTCCCACTCCCACTCTTTGCATCTTCCCTGTGTTTTAACAGATGGTAGAAATTGCTGGCAAGCCAGGGATTGTGATTAGAGAGTCCCTGGGAGATAAACTGGTAAGCAGTTTTGCCAGCTGAGAGTGGTCTCCAGCATAGTGGATGTCTGGTGGGGGAAAATGGGATACCTGGGCATCAGTCAGCTCAAAACACTTACTTTAGAGTGTAAATCTATAAAGTACCCTCTCGTTAGTTTATTATGGAGAGGCCAACAAGGAGCTTTGATCATGCTTTACAGATCAAAAATACTTGCTGAAAAAATTTAGGGAGAAAAAATGTCTTTTTTCTCCTTTTTTTAACATTAAGAGTAACAATTATTACAAGAGCTTATGATTGTGATCAGCTTTATTCACAGCTTTATGACAAGGGCGTGTCTCAGACAACTTCTAGTCTTGGTGTTAGTTGTTCAGTGCATTGTCTATCATACAAGAATCAAAATAGCCCACAATGGTCCCTCTGCTGCAGAAAAACGTGAGAAGCCTCATTGTGCAGAAGCCCTGCTGAAAGGCGGCATGGACCACATTGAAGAGGTGTGCAAGTGAAAGCACTTGTACTTGGAACATTCAAGCTGGTGCCAGTTCCTGTGCAGTAAGGGCAGTTTCATTCCTGACATCAACAAGCACCCTTAAATCACACATAAAAGTCCTTTGATCCATCCTGTACACACAGTAACCCAGTACCAGGGCAAGCACCAGATTAGCACCTTCACTCCATCATGGCATCTGCAACAGTCTTTGGGAGCCATTCTGAAATCCAAAGATCATTGTGTACCACATTTTTTGGGTCATGTTTCTTCTGTCTAACAAATGCTTCTTCCATGTGTTCAGCAGAAACAGTGAAGAGCTTAGTGTGCAGCTGCCCAGCCTGCCCCGTGCTGCCTGGGAACTGTCTCTGCGCTGGGAGGGCTCCTGATCTCGGCACCCTCACAGCTGTGCCCACTGCTGCACTGCAGAGCATCAGGAGGAGACAAGGGTCTGGACCTTGCCAGCTGAAGACTTTCAGAAACAGCATTGCAGTCAGTGGTGTAGTCACAGGTTGACTTACTTCCAGTTGTGAGCTGCGAAGCCTAAAGCTCTTTCAAGAGGTATGTATGACTATATATTTAAATGTAGCCTTGCATGTACAGCTTATTATGATAGAAAATTACAGAATATGCAGTCAGGGAGGGGGGCTGAGGCCTAACTGCTTTATCCATATTGCTGCAAATACTTGATGAGTTACATGATAAAGAACAGCATCCCAAACTGCATTCTTACATAGTTCAACATTATTCCCTCTCTCATACACAATTTATTTTCAGTTGAATATCCCTCACTGTCATCACTGAAATTTATCTGAAAAGCCTGTGCAGGGTTCACCACAATCGTGATGAAAAACTCACATCAGTTTGTTCAGATCCCTAAGATTTAATACTGACCAGGTCTAAATGGCAAGAATTAGGTGGTGCCAAGTAGACTAGCTTGACACTTTGTCATCGTGTGCTGTGTAACCCCTTGCTCCAGGAATCCATAAATGTCAAGATTTTACCTGAGTTTAAAAGCATCTTGGCAAATTCATGGCAGAAAAATTCACCGACCACTACAGAGTACAAAGATGCTGCTGCTCCTCAAGAAATTGCAAAGCACAGGAAATGAAGGAAACACCTAGAGGAATATTAGCACTGTATGTTTGCTCTGTTCTGGCCTCCTATAAGCTTATGTTGCTGGCTACAGAAACCCAGAGTAGAGGGTCATCTAGCCTGGTCCAGTCTGGTTTTTTAGTTCCTAAGGATGAAGATGAGTATATTGCCAAGAGAAACATTTAATGGCTGGGACAGCTGTCAGTTTTGGTACAGTCTTAGCATCATAATTAACAGGCTTTGCTAAAAAATGCTAAAATTCAAACATGTAACTGCATTGCTCTGGTAGCACACAAACTGTAACACAAGACAAATCGGTCCAAACGATTACTCAAGAAATAATCCATGGATCCAGCCTTCTCCTCCATATCACATGATGGACTCAGACTGGTTGTAGAGACTAATTTTAAGGGGTCTGCAAATAGCAATAGGGGAGAGCCAGTTTTACATGATTAGGGCTATGTCTTGTATTAAAAGGTCATAGCCCTGCTGCAAATTTTTAGAAGCTTGACGATTCAAAAAGCGTGAAAGATTTGCACTGCTTTCTTTTTGTAGTTAACAGCAGGTCTCCACCCACAAGTTCACAAATTGGAACATCTCCCAGCTCAAGTACTGTTGCCTATTCTGCAGACATATTCAGGATCACCAGCTAATCCACATTTTATTTACTGTTACTGTTTTATTTTTTTTAAGGACAGGTTAGTTAGATGTAGGGGCAGGGGCACTGCTTTGAAATAGTCCTCCAGTGTTAACAGAAGCACCGCTTACCTTTGTTTAAACACCCCATGAGCAACATGCCATCTTCCTGATGGTGTATCACAGTAACCATCCAAGCGAGGCATCCTTCACCTTACCTGGTGACTGTGCAGTAAGGTATCTGTGTTCCAAAAAAATGCTGCTTTAATCACATCCAGGTAGTGTTGCAAGTCCAAAGTAGAGAGACCCAGGCATAGCATAGGATCCAAGGGCTTCCTGCAGGCTGTCCCTAAGCAGCAGCATGGCAGCGGCAGTCAGGCTGTGGGGGCTGATGAACATCATGGGCACACTAGCATATTTCTCCTTGGAGAAGTCATAGAAGAGTTACATTGACCTGACAAGCAGAGTCTTGTTTGCACAGAAGCGCTGAACCATGAAGTGCCTCACAAACACCCACGTGCATTTATTCACAGACACTTCAGTGAAAAAATAAATGCATATTAACAACAGTAGACCTTGACTAGCTTTAGGCAAAGGGTTCTTTGGTTTAGGACACGGTTTAGCATGTAAGAAAAGTGGAATCTGTCTGTATTAGTTACAACAATCATTTCTTTCACCTCAAGCATGGCAAGCCTCATAGATCAAGTAGAAATTTAATTTGGAGGTGAGCAACTATTGCTACTTGCACAAACACATGCAAGAAAACCACTAAGGAAATTGTAACCAGGAGTTCCAAAATTTTCATATGTCATATTTGCTGCCATTTCACAAACAACCTTTATTTCTATTGTCGGGGTTAGATTAGCAGAACTGCTGCCGGCTCTCTCAACACTCAGCAAACGGCGTGGAATTCGGAGACTTCGGAAATGGGTTAGAGATGGAGACTTGGCATTTTGAGATTGCTTTATCTGCTAGGCTGTGGGTTATTCAAGGACAGGTTGTCCTCAGGCTTCTCTGCTAGCATTATTTTACTTCATCACTAAATAACTGAATCACCAAGTGAACAAGCCTAGGGATGAGGGCACTCTCCAGGCAATAGGAAACATGAATCCTTAGCAGAAGGGCTTGTTTATTAAAAGCTTTTTCTTTTTTTTTGGGGGGGAGTGACCAATTCAGTTCACTGCAGGCTGAGTTGCAGTGTTTCTTCACTGGTTCAGACTAAAGCCAAAGCAAAAAAGAAAACTGGCTATTCAGACCAGCTCTGCTGCCAAGTTTTCAGACCAAGCTAACAAAAATGGGAGTTTTCCAGGGTAGCGGTTCCTTTCCCAGGCAAGTTGGAGGTGATAGCATATTGGCCTCAGAGGCAGGCCTTCAGGTAGGTCTTTCCAAAAGCTCTATGTGCCACATGCACCTGGTGCGCACGGCATGCCCTGTGCCAACACCATTTACTGCTGCATGGAAAGGATGAATGGGTGCTAAGTGGTCAACCATCACAGATAGTTAAAACCATTCCACTGGCACCATGCTGCTGCCAGGCTTTTCCTGTGGCACCTTTGTGATATAGACAAGGATGAAGTGGCACATGGCCAAGGGGAGGTGTTTTGGTGACCTGCTTAATTAGCACCCCACCCTCCACTGTAGCTGCTGCCTCCCACCACATCTGCAACACAATCAGATAAGTAAACGTAAACAGTGATGGAAAAGGTTTCTTTACATAGTTTGTGACAGAGTCAAAAAGTCAAGGAGAAAGAATTTCCTTTACTCTCACAGAAAGTGAGAATTGAAGTCCACTTTCCTCACCTTACCTGCAGTGGGTCTTGTTCATGCCATGCCTAAACACTGTCCCAGTTCAGTCAGCAGAGAAAACCAGTATTAAGTAAGATATAGCTTAGGTCAAACTGAAGCACTGCATACTGGTTCTGTACAACAAATGATGTCAGTCAATTACAATTTCAAGCAAATCAGATGCAGACTTGAAGGTTTTGGAAGAAAGCTAATTTAGGTCTCATCTGGCCAAAACTGAGACAGCTGCAATGTCAATAGTAAGTACCTTTTTACTGTGAGCTCTATTTAATTAAGACAGATTATGGCATGCTGTTGTATGCATATGCAGACATCTAGACATTTAATACACCTTGTGATATAAGGATGTTCATTCTTTCACATGATGTTAACCTAAAAGACAATTTCTCTCTAGTTTCTCAATTCTAAATTTTCAGTGATGGAGTAACAGCATTGGAAAGCAGAGGAAGACGCTTACCCATCAATTAATTTCCTTTATTTCACAAGCTTTGAATTCAGAAATTGAACCACAACTAGTAGATCTTGATACGGTAGAGTAAGTAAAAATGTATGTGATTACAAAGGAAAAACTTTGTACAAAAAAGTTTAAAAATCCGACGGCAACTTGGATTATCTGTAAGTACCAAAAATCTCATGCGGAAGGAGAGCACTACTGCCCAGGTGGATAAATCCCTGCAGGGGTGGCAATGGCATTGGTATGTGTAAATTATGGCTCTGTCTAAAATGGAAACAAGAAGGACACAGACTTGGAACATATTGAGTGGGAAAAGACAGGTGCTACAGAGACCATTTGTCATTACGTGTCCCGATGATTTTCTGTGTCTTGAGAGAAGTGCTTCTTGGGTTTATAATAAATTAAAGATGAAACAGAAGCTGCCTATACTACTCTACTGCATACTTCCAAGATGGCCATTTTCTTCCTTCATAAGTGTTTTTGGTGGTGTTTCTCAAATACAGACATTAATCTTGGCATTGTGTCTAGTCAATTGTTGGCAATGTGTTCTAAAGGGACTCACTCACAGAATGCAACTTGCATAAATAACTCAGTAACATGCATTAACTACTCTAATACAGCGAAAGGGTGCAAAGGAACCATCATTCAGTTACGAGACGAAGCTAAAACCTGTAGTCACTAAAGGGGCAATGGAAGCACCATGCTTTAAGGTGACTATGGCATGAAAGCACAATTGTGAGGCAAGTAGTTCCAAGCAAACACACCACACTATTATCACCTCTTCCTATACAAAAAAAAGAAAGACATTTCATTTTTTATTTCCATTAGTACCAAATAAAACTGTGGGTTCGATAACACAGATACTGAAGGGAACGGACATTATTCCCATGATCCTTCATCCTTGTGTTTCTGTCCATCATCGTTTTTCAGCCAAGACTGGTAATATTAGAGCGACCACCAGGAGGTGCCACAATACGGTGGCCAGTACGGCGTGGGTTGTTGTCATCTATCTGAGCTCCTGCAACAACAGAAAATTAGGAAACAAAGCTATGAAAAGGAATAAACCATCAGCAGTGAGATTTTACCTGGCTAGTTCCAGCTATGCTTCCCTCACACCACCACCAGCTGATGTCTCTTGGCCAGACCCCTGACTGAAGTGCTAAACAGAACTTCAAGGCACATTTCTGTGCCTAGCTCCAGTTGTCTTCAATGAGAAGTGTAGGATTAAAGGTTTGGGATCAGACTGATGTTCACTATACATGGGGAATTGTTTTCCACTGACTTGAAGAAGAGTCTGTGCAGGGATGACAGTTTACAGACTGGGTTCCCTTTGCAAGATCAGATCAAGATCAGATCCTGACAGAAAGTATTACTGTTATAATTACAAAAAAACCCCCAAAAACGTGCAGAGAGGATTTTTCAAACCTGCCTCATTGATTTAGAATACCTGTCCCTGCTGAGTTGAGGGTCAACAGTACAGTAAATCTGGTATCTGATGTTAGTTATCATAAATCCATGAGGAAAGGAGCACTAAGCTTATGTAAACTCACACCCACTTCAAACTGCATTGTAAAATGTTGACAGGTTGAGCTAAAGGTGACAGCAAGCTTTCTGCCAGACTAATATTGTCTGATTATGCTCATCTTCCTAAAGGTAATGCAAGATTACCACAAACGCACAGGATCATTTGAAATTCTATCGTAGTCTCTGGTTCTGCTTAATTTTATAAAAACACAGTAATACGCATTTGCCTGATTCGGAACAAATTCATACCACTAGATGCCTTGCTACTATCAGAACCAGCAGTGGACTGTGAAACCACAGCTTTAAATGCTTATGAAAATCCCACTTACTGGTTATTTTTATTAAGAGGTCAAATTTCTAAGCACTGTTTTTGCTTTATATAGATTTATGAATCTGCATATGCTCACCATGGCCTCAGGTGTATGGGCAAAAATATGCTTCAACTCACTAGAAGGGATTTTAAAATATTTGCTCTCCTTGGGCTTTCTTACAGAAATTTAGTTTCTAAAGACAGGATCTGTCAGGAAGGAAAACTCCACTCACCACAGGGGAGAAAATCCAGTGACTTTTATAACATAAGGAGACACTTAATTTACCAATTGGGCTGTAGACTTCTTCTGAAGGATAAGGATTTGACACACTTATAATTGTCTTCAGATAACAAGAATTATGTCTAACAACCCAAAGGATGATTTCTGTTTCTTATATACCATGGAAAATGTTTTGGACACCAAAAGCAAAAGGACAAGAAACACTCTAATCTGCCCAGGAATGCTTCTGCACATGGTTTGCCAACTATGAGCAAGGACAGTTGAGCTTTCCAAGTCTAGCAGTTTCTGGTGATGCAGCAAGAAAAAAATCTGAGATGTCTGAGCCACATGGGTTGCACCAGACCCAAGTCCCATCAACTGTACATACCACCAAGGGGCCTCAGTCACATCAACCAGAGACCTCAGCTAACTGTAATGGGCAGAGAATTAATATTAAAAGACTGTATGCAGAGAAACATTTTAGATTGCAAACATTATGAATATTTGGCAATTTTTAAAATGTTCCTAGGGAAAAAAAAGTATAAAACCATATATATACATAAATATATGTATATATATATGTGCATACATACATGTAAGTATATGCATGTATGTGAGTATTCTTTCATATGTGATTAAAGAACTAAGTATAATTGAAATTTAGCATCAATAATCCATACTCATGGCTTTAAAACGTCTCTGACGAGTCAGGCTGACTTACCTGATAAGCTAAAATTGGATTGATGGAGGTTTCTGATTGGTGGGGGCTGGTTTTTGGCAGGGGAAGATTTAGTTGAGGGTGCAGGAGTTGCATATTTTGGCGTAGCTGGGATTTCATACACAGGCCCATCATACATTCCTCTGGAGACTCCTTGCAGTCCTCCCACCTAGATCAAGAGGAGAATAAATATCCAGACACTAATTGCTCTGATAATTCTCCCTAATGATACTCCTGCCTATATGAAAAGACCACTGAGCCCAGAGCTATATTCTGCATTAGCTGAAGTAAAACCAGATCTATACTCTCAAAGCTACAGTTTGCTTTATGTAAAAAGAAAATTATAAATAAAGCTTCCTCTCTCCATTTTTATATATATATATATATATATATA